CGACGGGCATACCTTCCAGGCTGGTTTTAATGTGGCTTTTAGGGTTCATAAATGGTTCATATCTTTTATAGTAATTGCAGAAGTAACTACCGCACCTTCTTGTGGTCTTGATTTGGTCATGAGAACCAGCACATTTGTAGATGATGATGTATGGAACACTGTGTGATCATGGTTCTCTTGAGCACTAAGGCATGTTGGGAGTTTTGCAAGTGACAGCTGGCACTTGTGGCAGCCACTAGAGACAAAGAGAAGTCTTCAGGAAGCTAAGATGGAAATATTGCTCATTGACCTGATGCTCTCAGGAAATGCCTGCTAGTGTGACCTTTAGAATTGTTGTTGCTAGTGATTGCTATACAGAAATATCAGGTGAAGGGGCAACCTGGACATTTCCACTCTCCTAAACTTCCTGACATTTAAATTCTTATTCTTTGATTTAAAACCTGAAAGCAACAGCAATAATAGAACCAAGGGTGAGGAGGTCTGGAGTGAAAACAGGGTCAAGTGTTTCCACGCTCAAACACAGTGGGCTCTGGGAGTGGAGCACCCAGCACTGGACCGCAGCCCCTGGGATGAGTACCTTGCATGCTTACTTGTAAATCCATTTACCACAAAGCCCAGAGGGAAGGTGGGGAACACCTGGGCCTCAGATAGAAATGCAAAGGGCCTTAATTCCAAAATGAAGAAAAACACATTCATTTGGCTTTAAATGGGGCCATAGGCTGAGTTCGAAATTGAATTTTGGTCTAGATATGGGGAGAGCATAGCAGTAGGGCAGACCATCATTCTTCTCTCGGTTTGTTTGTGTCTGGGATATAAAATAAAGAATTTAGAAATTCCACCCCTCGAAATATCTCAATTTAGAAATCAGACAAGCACGCCACTATTCACCAGGTGGATTTTCCCATTCCGAAGATTCTCACTGAATGCTGTACAGTGGTTTGGGTGTCTAAAGACACCACCGTGGGGTTTCCATAGACCGCAATTTCAGTTCGGTGTTTTTCACGTTACGTGGAGACTTTTACATTTTTCATGTTTCTAAATGGATTTTTTTCTCACATCACTATTTTCTAAACTCTACTGGACAATCACAGCAGATTAGAAAACAAAACAGCAAAACATTGGTTACATTAATGAAAGAAATCACATAATCACATATTTAAACCTTGACTGAAGCCATCTCTGAGATTTTCATTGTCTGTTGTGTATACATCTACATTAGGACCCTGCTTTTGTCTAAAGCTAATTCCACCCAGGAACCCCTTTGTTCCAGACTCCCACACATGCTGGCTGCCTTTGATTCATGTTATGGAACACGTGATGATCTCTCTCTCTCTCTCTCTCTCTCTCTCTCTCTCTCACACACACACACACACACACACACACACACACAGACATACACACACACACACAAGATGTGGTTGCTTTGACAGATAAGATCTTCCAGAAGTACTAATTGACCTTTTTATAAACCATGTAGTTTATTATAACGGTGAATATTTATAACCAGGGGCAAAGTGGTCACTGTGTGGCTGTGTGAGTGTCCCCACATGAGAGTACTTGGCTCCTTTATTTCAACATCATGTACATCATTTAATACTTAGCACTGGAACTGGTGATTAATTTAGGTCATTAATTTGCCCTTTCATAACAACGCAGTGTAAACGGCAGTATAAATTTCGTGTATAAGGCACCTTTATCACTTTTCATTATTAAAGGTGTTAGACTGTAATTGTGGTGTTCGACTAGTTTCCTAGAGTCATAAGATAGAATTCCTTTTCATGGCTTACTTCTTCTTTGTGAAATCTGTCTCTAAGATATAATTCAGTTAAATGTTTTTCTCCATGAAGTAGATGGGAAGTAAAATGATCGCTGAAGAAGAATGTGCCACTTTGCATCTTGAAATCTGATTTTATAGCCACAGTGATCAGAGTATCTTCAATTCAAACAAAAGAATTGAATTTGGAGAACATGCCACATTTGCATGGAGCATCTGGCTCAAATTTTTCCCACATAGATCTGGAAGACAATGGTCACTACTCCCTCAGTGTTACTGAAAGACAAATGTAAGACCCCACCCACCAGCAAGCGATACAAACTCAGCGCTAGATCTCCTCAGAGAGCATCTTTAAAAAAATTATTTTATTTTATTTTATGAGTGTATTGCCTTCATATATATAAGTGCACCAGAGTCATACAGTGCCTGTGGAAGTCAGAAGAGGCCATCGGATCCCCTGGAACTGCAGTTACAGGTGGTTGTTAGCTGCCATATTGGTTCTGGGACCCAAATCTGCATCCTCCTCTGTAAGACCATCCAGTGCTCTTAAATGTGGAACCATCCCTCCAGCCCCACTCAGACAGCATCTTTGATATAAATATGCAGGACATTTTGTTTCAAAGGATCATTGCAGGAGAACCGTGACAACCCTTGATGGGTTAGAGGTAGAACTCCCCTCCGTACAATTGTTTTCATGAACTTAGGGAAAAGGGAAATATCTATTGACAGGAAGACTTGCCTGCCATGCACAAAGCTCTCTGCATATCTGTGGCACAGAAAATGAAATTTAGTGACAGAAAGCAAACCAGGGCTGTCTGGGTCTCCTGGGTGGTATCTGAGGACAGCCATAACAGCAGCAGTTCGGAGGGGGATCTCAGGCACTGCAAATGTTCTCTGCGAATTTAGTCAAGGTGTGACTTCCCAGATCTCATCTACTGTACACTAAACGTTGGTGACTTGTATTATATGTAAATAATACCTAAATAGATTAAATAACCGGTGTGCTAGGAAAGAGCAGTGAGTGAGGGGGTGATACTATAATTCGTTAATAATAGAGGTGAACAGACATATTATTGCAACAGCCTACGTTTTACCCAGAGTCTGAAAAAGGGAATGTGTTTGGTTTGGTTTGGTTTCTTTGAGACAGGGCCTCAGTATACATCACATAATGGCCTCAGACTCTTGGTTCTCCTGGTCTGCCTCCTGAGTCTTGGGATTACTGATGACTAAATCAGATTATCAATTTAAAGGCACCAGAAAATACAGTTGATTATTCTCATGCGTTCTTTGGATCCTTGTTTAACTGTTGCATATGGAAACGTTAAGCTGGGTTTGTTATCAGTAGAAGACATCTCATAAATACTGAGCATTACTAATAGCATTACTAATGCTATACTGCCAAACAGGGACCTGTGGATGTAGGAGACACAGAAACTTTCTCCTACCGACCAGCAGACAGCCTTGGCCAGTTCACTGGCTCTAATAATGTGAAATCTATCCCTGTTCTGTTTAGGAGTATATCAGTTACTTTCAGTTGCTATGGTAAAACATCAGGACCAAGACAACTTACAGAAAAAGGGTTTATGGGGCTTAGAGTTCCAGAAGGATCAGAGTCCATCATGGTGTGGTAGCACGGCAGGAGGCAGCCCAAAGTTAAATGCTCACATCTTCAAGCAGGTACAGGGCAGAGAGGACAAAGCTCAGATGGGATCAGGTTGTGGATTCTTGAGGCATGCCACAGTAACGTACTTCCTCCAGTAAGGCCACACCTCCTTAAAACTCCACAAACAGCACCATCACATCAGCGTACCAAGTGTTCAAATACTTGGAGTCTGTGGGAGACATCTCATTCTACCACAGGGAGAATTACTGAGCTACAATGTGGAGCACTAAACTGATTTTAGGCATTTTTTCTGAGACAAGCTCTTGGCTGTTAGTGTGTCACCTCCTTTCTGAACTATCTCAAGAACAGTCTCATAAGACCTATGAACATGAATTAAGAGTTCCTACCTAGGTGTGGTGGCATGCACCTGTATTCCCAGCATGCAAGAGTGATGAGGTTGAGGCCAACCTGAGCTACATGGTCAGTTCAAGTCTAGTCAGGGCTATATAGTGATACTAAGACAACAAATCCACCAAACTAAGAAATAAGAGTTCCTCAGCATGGAATATTCAATAGAAGTTAAGGATAGATGTGTATCTGTGGTGTATATGTATATGATACTTTAAGTATTTTAAAAGGTCATGTGACAAATGGGTGGGGTTCCGACAATGCTTATTAGAATATGGATTCAAGTTCACCTGCGCCTACACTGTAACAGAGCCTGCAGTCATCAATATGTATCATTTTCTCAAAGAACACAGAACTGTGTTGAGTAACTTTTATGAATTATCACAGTTACATCTCATCCCAACTTTAAGACATGGATATAGATGACCAAAACACCTGCCCAATAACTGGGGAGCAGATCAAAACTTTGATCTGATTCTAAGGGTTGGGGCTCATTGGTGTGGCCTCTAGGACAACATTTAGTGGGGGCAGGGCATTGTTGTCTATTAGAGTTGGACTGTTGATGTTGAACTTAGGAGTTGCTTGTCCTGTCTTGGGTTGGGATGGAGCAAGATAACTGACCTCTGGCCCAAATTCTTTGACTATTCCCATATAAATCCATATGAGATTGGCATGTAACATACACAGGTGGTCAATAATGGATGTTCAGATGACCTCATTATAAGCTCTATGTGTCTATTCTTGTAAATAAAGACTTGCATGCTGTGTTTTTAGGGTTTAAAACATAAAGTAAAGTTGGATAAGGGTACATACTTTATTTTCATAGTTGCTCACCTGACCAAATCTCTTTTAAAATTCAGGTTTATAGAATGATATAAACACAGTTCTGTGTGATACTGCTCACACTAGCCACAATGTGAATGTTGATAAAACCTTTAATTATACGTAAGTATTATCTATCAGTGGTAATTATGAAGAAAACGCTTAGTGCTCAGACTCTAAGGGGACCATTCATCACCTCCTTATCACACTGCGCTTCGGCCCTATTGTTATCTGTTTCCCAAGAAAATAGAAATGCCCTTTCTTAGAATGGAAATGTTCTTTATAATGTGAGCAGTAGATTGAAGCTGTGCAGATTGGCTCTTTAACGAGACAGGCTGCTTTGCCATGGAACTGACAAGCTTTATTTCTGTGTGTTGTTTTTCCTCACTGCAGATGGACCCTATTCAGAAAGCTGTGATCAATCACACATTCGGGGTTCCCCTTCCTCATCGGAGAAAGCAAATCATCTCATGCAACATTTGCCAGTTGAGATTTAATTCCGACGTGAGTGCATCACTTAGTTTTCACTGAAAAATATTTTATGACTCTAGTCTTGTGGAAGAAAAGATTTCTTAAACATTTTTCCTCATTAGTACCTGCGAATTCCCAAATTCCAAGACAGCTTTGAACACTGTATTTTTTTTTAATTTGAGAGTTTATTATACTTTGTTTGGTTATTTACTATAGAAAACCTGCATGTGCGACTGTATATACTTGACGTTTAGTGCTTTGTTTTACTTCTTGGTGCCTCAGGAACGCTGGCACATCGTATACTTTGTCTGTGAGGCGATAGTTACACTTAAGACCTATTGAATCTATTGAAGATTTCAATAGAGGGAAGAATGACAAGAAGTCAGTTTTCAAGACTATGCTTTTGGCTCTAATTCTTTTGCGCACCATGACGGTCCCCTTCCTCCTTGAACCCTGTGTGTGTGTTCGTGTGTGTGTGTGTGTGTGCATGTGTGTGTGTGTGTGTGTGTGTGTGTCTGTATGTGTTTAGGACTCTCAGAAGTTTTAACAAATAAGCAGAGAATTTGAAAGACCTCAATTACTAACGCCCCCAAAGAATGAAACTTCTGTGGACAACCTGCCAGAGGGGAGACGCCCAGGGACCTCACCAGTGGCTCACGTGACGTTTGGGATTTTGGGAGGCTTTTCTCACTTCTTACTACTTTTGTGAAGAGCAGGGTGGATTCTGGATTCATCCCAGAATGCATCCCAATGTTAACTTGTAGCAAACATGAAAACTGTAGCTGTTCCCTTACTTTAAACCTGCTCTGATGTAAGGCTGATCCTGAGAGGTTCAGAAGCCAGAGGGATTGTTGATATGAAAGGAACAAGAGTTGGACCCCTAGTGTTCAGACTGTGGCGGTGAAAGGCCCCATGCTACCTGAGTGGACTCCCGCCCTGTGTGCCATTACCTGTGCTGAGTCGCAGGAGCCTGCAGACATGAGCAAGCAGTGTGGACTCTGGAGAGCAGTCAGCCTGCAGGATTTCATGACCGTTGTCAGGTGGGACTCTTGGTTGCTGCAGTGCAGAAAATCAGCCCCAGGAAGCCTGAGGCATTGAGAAGGTGGGCAGTGTCTTCTGTGAGGAGAACATGGCATTTTGTATAAGGATGGCTTTGGTCAGGGGACTCACATCCCTACTACAATCAGAACATTCCCTCAGCCAGCTTGCAAGGAGAAGGTTGGATCACAGATCTGTCCTAGTATAGTTGAACTGCCATGAGTAACAGTGGGTAGTTTATGACCAACAGAAACTTACTTGTTCTGGAGACTGGAGAGACCAAGGTGAAGATGCTGGCAGTTTCAGTCTGGCAAAGTTTGCTACATCTGGCAGATGCATTTTCGCTAGGCTTTCCTAGGTGGAATGAATTCAGGAGTGCCAAATAGACATTTTATTAATATTTTACTGATTTCCTTTCATTTTACATTGTCTGAGTGCTTTGTCTGCCTGTATGTAAGTGACCAGTGTTGTACAAATCTGTGGAGGCCAGAAGAGGGCATCAGTGTCCCTGGAATTGGAGTTACTGATGGTTGTTAAGCACTGTCTGGGTGCTGGAAACTGAGCCCTGGTCCTCTGCAAGAGCAGCCGGCGCTCTTAATTGCTGAGTATTTCTCCAGCCACATAAAGATCTTTAATAAGGCCTCTGTTCTCATGACCTGATCACATTAACATGGCCTTCCTATCCTAACCCATGAGGATTAGGGTTTCATCATGGAGTTGATGGGATCACACACCTCAGACTCATTGAATGATACTAATATTATATTAACAACTTTTATAAAAGATATGAAGTGTACATCATTTTATTTAAGAGGATAGTTTTAGAGTTTCTTTAAAAATTTGTATTTATTTGTTAAAGCTTAGCATCTAGATTTGACTGGTATTTTGAGTTTTCTACAAAAGGTGCTCAATTATGAGTAAACAGTATTGTAATGCAATGATTCGTACATAATAATCGCTTCCAGATGGTGTAAAAGTATAGCATCCTCCTAATGTAGAAATAAGACTTGTGAAGGCATCTCTTTTAGTTAACATTGTGTTTATTTATTTGAAATTTTCATTTGTACGTTTAATTTGTAGTTTTTAGGATAAGCTTAGCTCTAAATATTTAAGCGTTATGATCAAAGTAATTTGTTTCATGTAGTTTTTTTTCTTCTCTCAAGAACAGTCCCTGTGTTTCCTAAAATTAGAAAATCAGTCTATAATTGAGAACTCATAAACACTGAGTGAGCCTGCATTCCCAGAACTGTTAGTCAGCCTGGCTCTTTCTCAGTTCCTGTTTCCCTTGAATTGACATTCCACTTTGAATTGGATCAAAGATGGCAAGACTCCCCCAATCACGTAGTCCGCTTTTCACCACGATGAGGCCATTTGGGTCCTTTGAGTTACCAGCAGTTCTATCACCAATGATTCCCGCTCTGTCCATTCTCTTAGGAAACGATCTCATAGACGAATACTTCGGGGACATTGGGCCCAGTAACCACTGAGCACAAGAATTACATTTTCCACATCAGCCCAGGCCTTTTGGCTGATCATGCTAACAGATGGGTCAGTCACACATCTGGACATAGTTCCAATTCAGGGAACTGTCATAGATTGATATCATATCATAGATTGATATCAAAGTCATGGTTAGGGACTTGAAGTTTTGCCAGATAAACTTTAGATGATATGTATATTGACAAATATTTTTAGTAACATTAGCCTAAAGAAGGTAATACAAGAATTAACATGTTTCTTTCCTCAAATATAATCTATATCCTTTTAAAAATAGAACGGCTATTTATTTTGCTAATAGGGTTTCAAGGTGACACAGGGTTCTGTGTGTTCATCAGAGTCACTTGGCTGCTGTGTGCACAATTCTGTATTCAGAGTTGTTAGGCATGTGGTGAAAGGAAAATGTCCAAGACATGGGGGAGTCTGACTAATAGGTCTGGGTCATCATTAACCAGCACAGGGTGACCCATCCCTAAATAGGTTTTGTATTAGCTGTCTACTCCTGCTCTGGATTACAGGGACAAGTATATTAGCTTATAGCTCTAGGACCCTAGGATGAAATCTGAGTGTCACAGGATTAAGTTCCTTCAAGGAACTCTGGAGAACAGCCCTTCCAGCTTCCAACTCCTAGACACCTGTGAGCCCTTCCCCCTTCCCAGAGCACGTGGGTGTCAATCCCCTGTCTAGTTGCTGTCACTCTTCTGCCTGACTCTTGCCCGTTAACAGAGCCTTGCGACCACACTGGGTAGTCTCCATATTCCAGGATAGTTCCAGGATTATTTGAAATTCAGCAGACTAGCAACTTTAATTCCACCTGTCAGCCCCTCCCACCCCCTGTTGCCTATGATATACCACATCCACAGTTTCAAGGGATGAAAGTTTAACCATCTTCAGGACATTTCTCTTCTGCCTGCCAGAGTTTCTTTACAAGGAAATTGGACTTCAAACTGCTTGTCACAAACTGTATTTGTAACCTAATATCCTAGTCCAGATCATTTGGTCTGTATTTTTAAAAATCCTATGAATTCACTATCCTAACATTTTTATCTTGAATATTGAATGTAAATTCACAACGTAGCAATAATTTTAAAATTTGTATTGCATTTGTGCTATTTATTATTTATTTATTTATTATTTATTTATTATGTGCATGTATATCCCTGGCCCTGCATGAAAGTGGAAGTGAGAGCCAGTTTTCTTCTATCGTGAGTCCAGGGATCAAACCTAGGTCCTCAGGCTTAGGGACAAGTACCTTTACCCCCTGAACCATCTCACCAGCCCAAGTGTTAATTTTTAAAAAATGTAAATATAAAGATCCAACATTGAATTTTTTTTTGAACAGAATCTTCTTATAGTCCCACCTAGCCTGGAACTCTGTATGTAGACCAGGCTGGCCACAGTCTCACAGAGCTCTGCCTGCCTCATTAGTGATGAGATTAAAGGCTTGTGTCACCATACCTCACTTGACTCCAATGCTGATTTTTTAAAAAATGACATTTTAATCATTTTTTGCAAATAAAATATAATTATTGCATGATTAAAATATAACAATTGAAACTCTGTTATAGACTTAAAAACATTCCTATTATCAGTATGTGTTCAGTAAAAAGAATCAATTTGGGCCTAGAGAGATGGCTCAATGGTTAAGAGCACTGGCTGCTCTTGCAGAGGACCTGGGTTTGATTCTCAGCACCCACATGACAGCTAATAACTGTCCATAAGTCCATTTCCAGGGGATCCCACACCCTCTTCCAACCTCCACAGGCATTGCACACGTGGTGCACTTATGTACATACATGCACAACAGTCATACACATAGTTTTTTAAATTTTCTAAAAAGAGAATTCATTCACTAGAAATAAGTCATGTGCTTCTTGACCGGAAGTTTCAGTGTCGTGATACATTATATTTACCAATTAATCCATATGCAAGAATGTAACCCCTACCCCTATACACGGAAAAATTTAAGTCAATATGTATATTAATTGTATCATTTAATCCTGAGGAAAACCTTCTTTTTTCTAGTATACCTGCCCCCACTGTTCTCTCCAGGTAATTCTGAACATCATCTTGTTCCCATTTCTATGCCTGGAGTCCATCTGAAGGCACACAGCAATTCACTTGTATGCTTGACTGAGTTCTCTGTCACCAGAAAAGTGATTTTTTTTCCCTCACAAACCTTTTTACATTTCAAAGCTTCTTTCCTTTCCAATGAAAATAATAGCTTATAGGCCTCTTCATCTCGGTATCATGAAAATTCAATTTGTTCTCTCTTGCTAAGCTTTTATTTACTTTTTTAACCCTTTTCATTAAAAAACAATGTAGTTTAATGTACCATACCTGTCTCTTATATGGCACAATTTCCATTTGGGGCCCTGCTGATGGCCTTTCAAAGGTCATAAGTCATATTGTACGCATTTCAATGAGATTGCCTTCTCTTAATACAGACTTTTCTTGAATAAACATCTTTTTAACATTCATATGAAATATACATGGGG